ATCCATGCCTGTCATTGGATCATGCCATGTTTCACTCTGCCACATTGTGAGTTTTCACTCGGATACACAAAAAGAAAGAAACATGGTTCAAGTGTGTACAAAGTCAGTCCACACGGACCTAAGAGCAAACACTGTGGTTCAAAGTACATCCCATACACATGTATTCTGGAGGGCAGGGTACAAACCATGCTCATTATCAACATACATATTCATGTATGCACAAGTGAGACTACAAAAAATACTAATAGTATTCTAAATGTGAGATTTGGAGTCTTTTTTGTCACACACTTTAACAGACATACTTGGCTGAGTTCTGGTCTCAGTGTGAGCACACAGGTCACACAGAAGCAGTTGGAAGAGTGCCGTCTGTATCTGCTAGAGGTGCCCATTCACCACCACACCAGAGGACAGATAAGGGGAGGGGTCACACAAGGGATGAGTATTGTGAACTATGATCATATGATCACCAGCAGGCCCAAGAAACAACACTCAAATACTAAAGGGCACATCCTACCCCTTCATAATTCGCGCACACATTAATGCATTCTTCAAAAACATGTAGGTAGAATGACCAGTTTAATTAAATAAAACATACATGTAACATATTACTATTACCACTACCATTACCATGACACTTCAGATGCCAGTTGGTAGAAGTTTTTTTTTTTTTTGTGTGCAAAGTTTATGCTTGATGTTGTTGGTATTACTTGGCCCATAGGACCACCACCAGAGCCTGGACTACACTGGTGTTTATTTAGACCTCAGCCAAAGTAAATCTGTTGTGAAGAGCAGGTTCAAGGCTGAATGATAACACTCATCTTTTAGGGGAGACGATCACAGTCTCCAGTCTGATAATGTGAAAATTTAAGAAGTAGGGCACAGAAGTGTACTGTTTATATGGACAAATTTAGAGAGAAAACTATCCAAATTTAACATGTGGCAAAGGAGAAATTCAATTTGTCAACTGGACAAATGTTTATTTAGGATGAAAACGTTTCACAGCTCATCCAAGCTGCTTCTTCAGTTCTGATGATCATGGATTGCCATGGATTCTACCTGGACGACTGAGGGATTCTACTCACAAAATGAACACATATCAAACCTACTACATTCATAATTGCAATTTGTAAAATCCCGTCTTTGGCAATTACTTGCAAACAGAGATGCTGTTCTTTACAGCAGTATTTCATGTGGGTATACAGTAATTACAGAGATATCAAGCTAAAGCATGATCTATGTCAGTAAATTAGAATTATAGCCTTCAAGCATTTTTTTACATGCACAAAACCTGTGTTGATTTTGTGATTTGATAGATCAGTATCAACCATGTATGAGTAAAGTTAATCTGTGTGTTAGGCTGTATTAATTTCTTTCTTCACTCCAGCTGTAGCATTCCTTGCTCAGTTCCAGTCGGTCCCAGATGTTTGGATCCCACAGTATCCAAGCCCTGGAACAACTTGGTCTGCTTCTCACCCCACTCGTGCACTTTTCAGGGTCGCGTTAATTCAAGGAAAACTGGGATCAGTCCCTGATTTTCACACGCACTCTCGAATCGTGTGTGCTATAGCGTACGGCCGCGTATAGCTGCTGTGGTTAACGACACTTCAACAAGTTTCATCATAACTCTACAGGAGGATACTGGGCAAGGTTGCCTGCTGCTCAGGCCTTTAATCCACACAAAATGGTAGAACACACAAAAAAAAAAATGTTATTGTGTGTGCGTCTGCGCCATTGCTGTGCCATTGTCTGTGCGTGCATTTGTGGATGGGGTGGGGGGCATGGACCTGTGGCGGGGCGAGGCGGGGGGGGGGACTCGTAGAGGACCATTTACAGTAAGCTTATAAATATGCATTACGATATTAATACATTAGAATATGTCCAAAACATTATTGCGATTTTGATTTTCACGCCACGTTTCTACGGGATTCCCCTTAACTTTATTTTGTCCATGCCATTCTGTTTCTGCTACGTTCGCCCACCAGGAAATAAGTGATCAAATTACCCTCTGACTGATCCCGTGTAGTAAGTGCATGGATTTAGCCTAGCTATGCTGAAAAAGTAGGCATAAGCTAATATAGTGTTATTCCATATAATAGGCTATGTGACAAGACTTTACACGTGCTGTTGTGCTGGGTTAAGTACTACTTCTGTATCACGTCAAAAATAAACTTTTCTTGAAAAACACAGTACTTCTTGGAAATGATCTATATGTGTATTTTCCATTCAGTAGGGACAGCACTTTGTGGGCAGAAGATGAATGACGAAGCCTTACCCGTCCTGAACCTGAGGTCGGCATCTGTTTCTGAGCCGAACTCTCGCAGAAGGGAGACGAACAGAACCCCAAAGGCATTCTGGATCCCAAACACCGAACCATTGCACCACATGGCAGACAGCATGACCACCCAACCCCAGCCGCCTTCAGGGTGCACAAACTCCTTCTCCGCTCCGGGATCAGTCACTTCATCTCCCGGGACGCTCACTCTTCCATCTCCATTCTCCTCCGGCTTCTCCTCCGGCTTCTCCTCCGCTGCTGACCCGGCGGGGGCTTCATTTTGCACGGTTGAGTATTCAGGTAATCCGTTCCCTTCAGTCATTGTTAATGTATATGACAGAACCAAAGTTACTGAAGCGCACAATCGCAACTTTCGATACACAATTCACGCCCGAGAGTACCACACATGAACCAACGCTGGGTGAAGTCCACTTTCAGTTGCTTAGACTCATCTTTTTTTTAAACTGTCACAAAAACAGCTGTGGCAACGTATAAATAGACAGAAGAGGCGTGGCTATGTGACTCAGTGGATTTGATTGGCCACAGATAATGGCTCCAAACTAATTACTCTAGTAGACTTATAAAATCTAGCCTACATCAGTCGTTTGGTTTATTAGATGAGATAAAATCCACTTCCATCTATATTATGCTGTTTTCTGTACTGTGTTATAAAGATCAGTTATTTCCCCATCATAAACCATATTCTTACCATACTCCATACAAATGTACAACAACTCACCCTTATGCAACAGATAATACTCCCTACAATTGTACATCAACTCACCCTTATGTAACAGATAACCCTATGTCCTGTCAATCTTCATATCATTGCTGCACTGTCTTCCTCTTGTATATAGCTGAGATTTTATATTTTATTACTTATTTTTCTATTTTATTTTGACTTGTACATAAATATTTATATAATTATGCCTTAGCTGACTTTTGATTTTTCACTTTGTTATTATATTATATGGTGATGTGTGATCTACTGTGTTCACATAATTTCTCTTGTGGTTCAATAAAGTTTGTTTAAGTAAGCATAATTAGGCTGAGTTCTTCTCTCAAACAGAAAGCACTTTTTTTCCTCCCTTGTTCCGTTATGTGGTAATACAGGAAGTCCTCCACTGTGTTTGAAACCTCAGTACACCTTCAGCTGAATCATTTGGACGATTTCAGCTATAGAATTGCTTCCCTCTACTGATCTAAAGGTAAAAGGTAGCTGTTAACATCTATGACCGCTAGACCTACATGACATCACAAGGTGGAACAGAGCATTTTGAGCTTTGGAGACGTACAGACAAATAAATAATTACTCAAACATGTGTGAATGAAACAAGAGACAATTTTGCACAATATAGGACCTTTAAGCACAAAAGCACACAGCGGGCCACAGTAAGCGTTTGACTATAATTAAACTGACAGATTTCTGGTGGGTTAAGGGAACAGTGCTAAAATAAAAATAGACTGAAATACTTAGAAAAGTTTAAATTCAGTTTATTGTCATCCACAGAATTGCATGTCAATTGAGACTTCAGCTCTCTTTAAGGACTTTTGGGGCTGTACTCTCGTCTTGGGCTCCTGTCTCACCCCTCCTTTTCCTTAGACCCTTCATCTTCCGTGTTTGAAGTTTGGACAAATCTTGCTTCTGCATGTGCACACGACCAAACTTGGTGCCAAACACATCATGGGAAATATTCTTCTTTTTCTTAGGCTGAAATAAACAGGAAAACAAATCCAGTAAAAAACAGCATACGCACAGCAATTAAAACATCAATTTCCCTTTTCATTATATAATATCAAAATAAACTGTGAATATAACCAGCTTGAGAATGCCCAATCAGGTAACTTCAATAGCCAAGAAGGGTTGAGCCTGGTTAGTACTATAATTGGGCAGAACACTTTAAACCACTTTGCCTAAAAATGTTCATGTACCCTGGTTTATTAAGAGAATTTGTTTCAGAGCAAATGTAGGACATTGGATATAAATTAGCCCCTGGCTGCAATTTGATACCCAAATAAGCAAATAATATGAAATATAAAACATACATTTGTACCCACTTCTCTATAACAATCATGTAAAGTCAACAATTTCATTACAAAGGAAAACCTGGTTCTTACTATGAATTTGTCTTTTGAATGGTTGACTCGTGTCTTAGAGTCAGTGGGAACTGGGGAAAGGCTGCACCCTAGTGATTTAGCAAAATATTGCACATTTTGTAACCTGCCCTATGGAGGTAGTTAGTTCAACAAAAATATGAACAGATAGGCCTGTTTTTAAGTGGGGAGTGTGGGGAGTGTGTTGAGTGAGCGTTGTGTGATGAGGCAGGTGGTGTTGAACAGCAGTAACATGCGCCAGTCTGCTCATGGGTAACTGCTTTAAGGGTGCAAAGTTATCTTCACACCTCTAAAATCAAATAAAATGTAGGCTCTAATGGTGCACTATGCAACATTTCTGATGGAGGTTTTGTCACCAGCTGGTGTCCATGGAGAAGTTCTTGCTTTGTCTAGAATGTTCAACATGACATAAAACATGTCTCCCTGAAGAAGCAGGTAATGCCCAGGTAGGTCTTACAGGTAAGATCTATGAAATGGCTGGCATTCCATGTGTAGCAATTACATCTCCATGAACACAAGCAGATGGCTTATCACAACCAGAAAAGTTACATAGTCCGCTTGCTTACCTTTAGAGCTCTGGGTTGCCGTAGAGCTAATTGGTAGAGCTGTTCTGAGGCCAGGTGTGTTCTTCTCATAACAAAGTCAATTGAAGGACCCATCTCTTCCAATTCAATCCTCGGGGTGCGACAGCCTGACTTTTTCAGCATACATCTGCACACAAAATATCAAATCTACTTTATAACTGTTAGCAGAAGGTGCTTAGCTCAAAGACAGTTACAGACCTGTAGCTGCGCATGTAGATTCTGCCATCTAATGCAGTGAAGTGTAGCACATGCTCCAATCCTGCTAGACGCACTCCATCCACCTTAGGACCTCTGAAGAAATCTGAAGATGAGAGATAAGCAGTAAATCATCATTATTACATAATAGTATTATACTAGCTATGCAGGATATAGCAGAAACTATAGCCAAGTGTGATGGGATGGGAGAAGGACTGAGGCTACTGGGCTGCTTTGGAATAATCTGGAGTGTGGGGAAGCTGGCCAATGTGATTGTAAGTAGGTAAGTTGACAAAAATGTATTCATGATCATGTGGGAATTGTGGCAAAAACAATACATATTTTAAAAAATTAACTGTACTCAACTTTATCAACGGCAACAGAAATGAACAAAACTATGGAAAACCCAGATGTACCAGGCTACACTGATGTAACCTCTCCCCCCAACTGACTAAACCTGGTTACTTTACACCACCCAACAGGAAGTATCTCCTCCAGCTAAGTATTATTATTATTATTATTCCTTGCATGTTACCATTGTACAGGTACCTTTAGTATCTCCAGTATCTAAAGATAGCTGCTAGTTCCCACCAAGGCTTTAAAAATGGTCCTCTTTGTTTGGACTATGTGGAGGTAAGTATGTGAATGTCTGTATGTATGAAGTAACAGAAATGCATTGCTACTGTTGTGGCTACTGTCATGGGCATCACCATTGACAAGTGAGCTACTTGGCTTCCCACCTGCACTATACATGTCCGTCACACTCGGCCTCAGTGGCAGGGACAATTTATTTTGCCACATAGCAATTAGGTGAGATCAGATTAAAGCCTGCACTGATATGCTGACATTTATTGCATCACCATTTCACATTATTAAGTTAAAGTTCCATAGGTCAAGGGGGAGTGCAGTACTCACACATTGCAAACTTATAATTTTATTACCTGTAATACCTTAGGGTACATCTTAGGGGAAGTTCAAGAATGTGAGAATTTGGTATTAATTTGCTACTCCATACCTATGAGCAAACTCTTGAGACGCTTGAGTTCAGAATCCATGCTGAAGGCTTCTCCTGCAAATACGAGCATGGGCTTTGTGCCTTCGGGGCATGTCTCCGCCTGAAACGTAAATTCTCAATAAAGCCCATGCTTTGTGATTCAACACAATTGGAGATAAACCAAAAATTCAAAGACTGGAATCCTCAACTTGAAACAATTATTTATTTTTATCTGCTTGCGTCTTTCCAAATTGAAACACAATTACATTTAAAACCACCATACAAGTACCAAAGGGCCAGTGCAGATTTATCCCAAACATACCTTAAATTGTTTTAGTGGAACATACTTCTCAATCCCAAGTTCAACCATGTCTAAAACATGAAAGTCAAACATACGACCTGCATAAAAAAAGAAACAGAATGTCAGAAGACATTTGTTTGAAGTCAATGTAAGGCTGGTGCGTGTGTCTGTTATACCAAATATAAGGTTGTTGGGCCTCTTCTTGTTGTGTGAGCCAAATAAAAACAAAGAGCAGTCCGTCTTTTTGGAGAAAAATTCCTTTGGAAGAATTAAAATTGTTATCAACAATCCATAACATGATGCAGATTTTCAGCAGGCCTACGTTTGCCTACCAATGATGTGGAGTCCTCAAATGGTCGAGTTATGTTTTTTCTGGAAAACAAAAAACCCACATTAGACTGTGTTCACCAGCTCTGTGCATTCATAAAAAGCTGAGACTTGACTTACTTCTTATACAGCACAGCATTGGGTTTCTTTAAGGAATACTGAAAGGACACAAACAAAAAAGGCACCCATAATGCGATAATATGCATGGAATATATCTTTGTACTGAAGTCCTAAAGAAGTGATGCTTTTCAGTCCATGCCAGAGAACATGGTATGTGTGTCTGCACTTACATTTATGTACAGACAACTAGAGTACAAGATGCCCTTACTGAACCCATACCAAGTGACAGCTGATATTATCCACTCTACAGTATTTGCGTCAATCCATCCTGATAAATCATTGATTAAACCAGAGTTATTGACAGGCTTTAGTGTTAATTGACTGTTTGGATCAAACTACTTTAACAACTGAAAACTCAAAGTAAGATTAAAGTTATGTCTGACATTAGCCTCTATGTCATTATTTAGCATCTACTTTTCAGAGATATTTAAGAGAATTTAAGTGGGTACTGGCAGAGAAGAAAGAAGGACTGAGAGACATAGAGCCATAGAATCAAGGGACTGTACCACATCTTTCAGAGCCTGTGTGACCGTCTCGCTTGTGTTCCCTCCTTTCATAATCATGGCACTCTTCAGGTCCTCACTCAGTTTGGGTAATCTGTTCTCCAAAAAACGCTTGGAACGTTTTGTCTTTGGTTTCCTGATAACACAAATACAGTATCAATCAGCTTTAATTAATTAAACTGGACTCTTAATATTTTGTATATTTTACACCCTTAACAATGTAATATCATTTTGTCTTAAATATCCTTAAACCTTTAGCCCTAATTACTAACTATTAATAATGCCTTAATTTGCACTTTTCCAGGCGCTCAAATGGTAAATGGTCACATTTTTCTATAGCGCTTTTCCACCTTTAAGGCACTCAAAGCGCTTTACAACAAGGAACCACTCACCCATTCACACACACATTCACACACCAATGTACGCAGACACTGTGGGCAAGGTGGGTTAAGTGTCTTGCCCAAGGACACAACAACAGCATTCATCTGTGGGAGCTGGAATCACACCAGCCAACCTGTGGGTCAGTGGATCTGATCGCTCAACCTGTGATTTTTTTTTTTTTTTATGTCGAGAGCTGGAATCAAACCGCCAACCTTCAGATCAGTGTGCGAATGCTGAACTACTGCCGCCCCAAAAAAAAGTCACTTTACAGTTTTGTGAATTATTAATTCACTCCACTCTCAGTGGTAAACTACTATAGTAGCCACAGCTTCAAGCTACCAATCTGTGACATCTGCTCCTCCAACCACCACCACCACCACCACCACCACCACACGCACACGCACACTCACACTCACACTCACACTCACACTCACACTCACACTCCATTCCCATATAAGGAAATGTGGGTGAAGTGTCTTGCTTAAGGACACAACGACACCAGTAACATGATATAAGGGTACTCAAGAGTGTGAAATTACGCTTACGGGTTACAAAAAGTTGGAAACCTTTATCCTATAACACCACCATTATAGTAGAAAACATCAGTAGAAAACAAAAGTTCTCTCTTATTATTATTTATTATAACAATAATAATGCATTTTAATTAAAGGCACATTTCCAGGCATTCAAAGACACTGTATGAACAACAATTAAGACACAGAATTAATAACATTCAAAGAGTACAGGACAGGCTGCAAAACATCAGAGCATTAATGGGAGTAGGCCAATTTAAATTAATGGGTTTATAATCTGGATTGGAATGTTGGGTGTGAATCAAGATTACGAAGGTCGGGTGAGAGTGAGTTCCAGAGCTGGGGAGCAGAGTGACTGAATGCTCTGCTCCCCATCGTGACGAGGCAAGCAGAGGGGACAGAGCTGGAGAGAGGAGGAGAAGCAGACGGAGCGGGAGTGTGTGGTGATATGGAAGTGATCACAGAGATAAATGGGGGCCAGATTATGAATAGATTTAAAAGGTGAGTAATAGAATCTCGAACTGAATTTAGAAGCCAGTGGAGCTGCTTGAGGACAGGAGTGACGTGGTGTTCTGGCTAGGATTCAGGGAGCTCTGCCGGAGTTGTAACTTGTGGAGTGATTGTGAGTCCATGGAGAAGGGAGGTGCAATAATCAAGTCTAGGATGGCTGCAGTGTGGGGGGTGAGGGGCTGAGGTGGTTTCTGAAGAAGATTTTGTGATACTGTTGATATGGGATTGAAGTGAAAGTGTACTGTCCCAAATCATGTAAAAGCTCTTTATTTGAGGGGAGAGACAGATGGAGGAATTGTCAGAGAAATGGAGAGATTGTGAGTTTTGTTGATGGTGGACTCTGAGATGTATAGTAGTGGAAATGGATATTGTATTCTCTGATGATGTGGCCAAGGGGAAGCAGGTAAACAATAAATGGCAGAGGACCAAGGACGTAGTCTTTTGGAAAACAGGGCAAGGTTGCGATAAATCTGGACATATGAATATGAACATACTGAAAGCGGTTGCAGAGATGTGACTTAAACCAGAGCAGGGGTGAGTAAGATTGATCTCAATGACATAGAAATCAATCTGTCAATGAGGATGGTGTGAGAGACGGTGTCAAATGCAGTAGGACGATATGAAATATATAAACAATTAGGAACACTAACATTTACATTACATTACATTTATACTATCAGAGACCAAATCAAAACTGTAGCAAAAATAATTTTAGACACTTTATTGGAGATGCCTCTCTTATGAACCCAAAAATCATGTCCCATATATGGTCCCCATGAAGTATCAACGACATGGTTTAAAGTAACGTAACTAGAGCAAAAAGACAGAGTACTATGTAAAAGTGTGATGAATGTGACACGAGCATCAAATTACTGCATAATGTGGTAAATGTTTCTTGTGGGACATCTGTTCCTGATACACTCAAATGAATAAAGGCTTCGCTATAAAAGTAAATGAAAAAACTTACGTAATGCCGTCCAACTGTGTCATTTTTATATCGTTTGTTCCCGAGTTATTAAAGAAAAAAAAAACAAAAAACGCCGTAGCTTCCACACGTGAGTCTCCCGGAAGTGTCAAGCTGATATCTTCTTTGCCTATGACAGTTCACTGTGTGCTGTGTCCTCAAAGGGAACGAGCGCCATCTACCGCCTAACTAACATGGTTTGGAAGGGTCATAGATTACTAGGATATCATATTAATAATAATTCAGACGCTTAACTCCACACCAACAGTATTGCTTCTGGCTTCACAGCCGCGACTTCACCACATCTAATTTTTGAGGGATAATAATTATAAATAAAAAATCTAATAACGATCTGCCTGGACCACCAAGATACGTTGTCCAGTAGCCTGGAATCCCCTCTCAAGTAAAGGAGACACAACTTGAATAAAACTTATCCAACCAATGAATTCCTAAAACAAAAATTTAAATTTGAGACAGGTAAATGTGTGTTCTGTGGAAGACTTGGAACATCTTTTCTTTTTATTTAGTTTAGTACAATTTTGGTCTGATTTTCAATCGTTGCAGCCAAGGGGAATTTAATTCGCCCCTCTAACCATAAAAGAAATCAAATTTGGTGTATTAATAGAAGATGAAAGAAGGGAATTTGGTATTAATAATTTATTGATTATAGGTAAATATTTTATTCACAAACTTTTTTTTTTTTTTTTTTAAGATAAAAGCAAATATGACACACTTTAAGAATGACCTGAAACTTTTTATTAACTCGCTGAATCTGACTTAAAGTAGGGAAGCCGGGTTTCTTGTGTCCTTTTTGAACGATATTGATTTGTTTCTTTGATTAGAAGCTTTAGAACTGCCCTCTTTGTTTGTTTGTAAATGTTTTTTTTGTTTTGTTTTGTTTTTTGTTTTTTTTTCACAATTGCGTTTTGATCTTTTGCTATGTTTCGGTGTGATCTGTAAAAATAAATAAATAAATACATAAATAAATTTAAAAAGTAGCCTGTAAGCCTCACTTCCGCCATGTGCCCTAAGTGAACAAAATATGACTAAGAGCATCGGTATTATTATAGCATATATGTCGCATGAGGTGATTAGTACTCACATTTGCGTGATGGAGTTTTACAGAATTTGAACTTTTCAGATCACTTTAATACCTAACTATTATTATTATTATTATTATTATTATTATATTTAAGAAACAGTATTTGAGTAAAAATAAGTCTTCCCACTGTGAGTCTACAAGTGACAAAATGTTGACAATAATAGTAAAAATATTTAAACATTTGTGTTTCTTGCACCACTCCTGTAGATATGATTTTGATTTATGTTTGATTTTTGTGGTCTCTTGTGGTCTTAAATAATGCACAAAAATAATACATAAATATCTGCTATATTCAATATCTTACTTCCTGACAGTTACTCTTACCTGATTAGTACCCTTCCCAAATACTTTTTACGCTTACTTCTTGGACCTATTTTGAAGTAATATTATTCTTAAAATTTTGGCTACACTATCCATCTCTGCTCAGCAAAGCATGCAGGGGTTTATTGACCTCCTCTCTATAGGCCAATGGATATTAATGCCACCTGAGTAGTGAAAGCATAAGAATGATTCAATTGTTGTCCAGTGTGTTCAGTACCCATTTATTGCATTTTTATATAAATACCAATAAAACTAGTTGACAAGTACTTTTTTTATTGAAGCCTCAAGGTGGTAACACAGATATTTAGCACATCTTGACCATCCAAAGAACAGCAAAAGAAAGAAGTGAACAGCAAAGTTTTGCTTCCGTGTATGGCCCTGGCTCCTGCAACAGTGCTTCTTCCTCAGTTACTCAGTGCCTACTTCACCACTCAACACTGGACAAAAAGGCCCACAGACAAATTAGATTGGTCCGCAGAGTGAATACAAATGATTTTTGTAAATAAAAAATAAACAAATCAGTAAACATACGAAGATGGCTGTTTAAACAATTGACCTATGCCACCATAGCTATATGTAGAAGCTAATCTAAGAGATGGCATTCAACCTAGGAGTGCTGGCTTTTTTTCCCTTGACACTACGACAGAAAAACTTCACCTTTTCAAAACTAAGCATTTTGTCAAAGTGAGGCAGCTCTTGGTCCTTAGTACTGTTCCAACTTTGCCACTCTTCTAGCTGCTCAAAAGGACAGTGCTTTTCAGGTTTAAAGCGCTGAGCACTGAGGTAAAACCAGGAGCCAGAGACACATAAGGAAGACACTCAGTCACAGGCCAGGCCCCACAAAGACAAACCACAATGAGACCAATTCAATAAATGGAATAAAACGGCAGTATTTGCAACAGTGATGTGTGGAATGATCCGGGATCACCCTGGCATGCTCAGACTGCTGGGCCTCTATTGTGCCTCTACATTTATGTATAGGGCAGAAAGACACAGACGTGGCTATAATGCGGCCAAAAGAAAAATGCTTTGCTGGGCAAGCGCTGGGCTAAGCAAAAGTGTGGGATTCATTGGTGCCACTGTCAGGGTCTGTGGCAAGGCAAAGCCAGCAGAGGGAGCCATTACCACATCCAGGCTTTTCTCTAGAGGCATGGACTGACTAAATTTCCATTTGACCAGGTGTGAAAGCAGAAAAACGGGCTGAATATGACTGGATAGATAGGGACTTTTCCAGAATATTCCCATAGACACAGATAACTGTATGAAATAGAATTATTCTTTTATGTACCTCTACACATAGTGTTTTGAAAAACTACATTTGATTGTCAGGTCAGATGAATGCAGCAGGCAAGCCCAGCAGAGCAACCACTGAGAGGCTTTGGTTTTGGCTCAAAGTGCATGGAAGAGCTCACAGCTACGTTTACATTCACTCGTTCTGTTCGGACCGTGTACAGGTAAAGTGCGCTCAAAAAGAAGCCCCACAGGGAAGGTCACAAAGAGGCCATCTTTCCGAGCATGCCAGGGGCCAGCCCGTCTGCAGGGAAAGGAGTGGACTGAGCACAGCGCCTCCAAATTCTTCTACATGCACTTCATCACAGCAAGAGTGAGCTAGAATATCGAAACAGAGAAAAGAGCTTTCATGCAATAAATCTAGGTCACAGATACGACAAGCCAAAGTGGGGCTTGAACTATGGCCCGGCCGCACTATCAGGACGGCAGAGCAGGGGCAGCACGGGGACAACACTAGAGGGCCCTCGCCCTCAGCTCTTCTGGTTCTGCTGACACGTCTTGGCGTAGCTTGTAAAGACAAAATTATAATCGTTGAATTGAGCCAGCTGCCGATCCAGCCGCTTGTAGCCATCCAGTTTCTGAGCTGAGGAGAAGACACTACGGCATTTGGAGCTCTGTGGGATACAAGATCAGGGTCACCATGGGAAAACCAGGCAAATATAGTATTAGTAGTATTTAGCATCACATATGGATGTTTTCAATATGACTCATGCATCTTTGGTTAAAATCAATAATATAAAAATATTTATATATAATATAATATAAAATATTTCTCTCAAAGGCAGAGTAATAGATGCAGGTGAATGGGAGCAGAGAGCACCATAGGGGTGTCTGATAATTAGCCTGAATAAACTGATCAAATAGTTGCCAATAATTAGCTGAGGCTTTTTAATTTACATGGTCCATCAACCAGTTTTGTGGCAATACAACCCGTTTGGAAAGCAGCTGAAATAATGGAATAATAAATGTTGAACAACAACAAGCCTCAGTGCCACACAAAAAAAATACATTTTCATTACCTGTAAAATAAAAGTCAGTTTAACAGGCTTTACTTGAAGGTGCTAGCTACCTGATTGACAAAAAGGGTTGTGACAAACTTTCCCGGTTTGAAGACCTCTACCACCTTACGAATTAGGTCATCATACGAAGTCTGGGACAAGTTAGTTTCAAAGCTGACATAGGAGAACTCTGGCTCTGGAGTGATGTGAATGGTCCAGTAAGTTCCCTGTGCACACAAATGAAAAGTAAATGTTTTTTTGTTGAAATGCAGTTTACACTTTTTTGGAGCAGGATCTGGGACCAGTTGAACCAGTTCACTTTGCCTTTATCGTAGTCAAGTTTCAGAAATTACTTTCAGTTATGTGTGTGATACAATAGACACGTGAGCCAATACAGATAGCAGAGCATTGATAATAACCTGTTTTCAATACTGGATTACCTCACCCATTTACATTTTAAATCTTTACTCTTTATGCGCCACAAAAGGAAAATACTATGAATAATAAAACCTGGTGAAAGAAGAGAAAAAACTTACGTCAGTCTTCATGCCATTCATGGAGTAGCCACATGGGTTAAACAATGTGGCATCAATCACAGAACCTGGAATCAGGTCACGAATTCCACTCATCTGCAAAAAAAATAAAAAATTCAGTGAGTCCACAGCCATCCTGACCTTTGACTTCTGACCAGAGTTCTTACACGAGTGACATCACTTGCGGAAACACCATCTTTCATGAAGAACTGGTCCATGATGGCTGGGTCCAGGTCGCTCATCAGAACTTCCAGGGTCTGGTCGGCGTGCTTGTTCTCCCAGTACTCAGGTAGGTCCAGGGTGAACAAGTACCTGCACACAATACCAGTTATTACAGTCATGTACACAGCCACCAAGAGGCACGAACAAGGCACGTACCAGCAGTCCGAGTTCAACCGTCCCATACAGTAGGCCGCACCATCTGCACAAACGTACATGTCAGTGTCAGAATTTCTCACTTTAAATGGCAAAATTACAAATTACAGGCAATATTACTTGGGAAAATCTCACTGAGAAAGTCCACCTCTTCTTGAAAGTTCCGATGAGGGAATTCCTGGTGGGTCGGCTTCATGAAGTTTTTACGAGAGTAAAAAAAATTCTGCAACATAAATACAAATACAAATTAATGCTATTGGAAGGTGTGAATTGGTTCAGCACTTTGTTGGACTTGAGCATAACATTTACCTCAATAGCATCGAAGCCACTGTACTCCCGGGCCAGCTCCAGCAGGGGGACCAGCGCTTGCAGCAAAAGGGTGGTTCCGCACGTTTTCAAAATGAAACGTCTCTTGGAGACAAACATGCTACTCTCACTGTGGAGTGGAAAACACAGTTGGATCCTTAATGTTATTGGTGCATAACAGCGCAAGACTGATACAAATACATTGCCCAGCTTATTTATTCCTCATGTAACTACTGAACCACAATGAATAAATACAAGTTCAGACATTTAAAGTCATTCTGGGCCAACAGTGTCAAATCAATTTCCTCAGTTGTTTTGGTGTAACCAATCCAGTTTTTTCTGGATTGCACGAGATACAGAGTGTTGGTGTATCTCTGGGAAAGGCCTGCACAAAGGAGCATTAATAGTGTAGCTAAATCCAGTACCTAAAAATGGTCTCATCCATTCCTCTAGTCAGTTAAAGTTAAAGTAGGTAAGTTATTCAGAAGCATGTAAACATAGTGCATGTCAGCTGTCATGGTGTATTCTGTACAGGCACTTACCTGAGTATATAAGCTTCCTGCTTGTCAGTCTTTGTCACACTTATAATCAAACAATGCACATTCTCCAAGAGTTTGTCCCACTCAAACCTGAAACACAGTTGAGAAAAACAGCACTGGATTAACTCTTTGCTGAATGCACAAGATTCATCTTGAAGGTCAGGACAACTCTGGTAATAATGAAAAGTGAATACAAACAAGACAAGGACAAAATGCAGACTATAGCAGCAAGTTGTGAACCTCCAGTTTTAAAAATACAGCTCAAGTTTAAAGTCTGTGTCTAGAATGCACAGAAGGCTGTCAACACTGGCATGTGATGGGAGAATGTTTGCAGCACTCTTCTCCTATCTGTCCTAGCTACTCAAAACTGACCCCTCCCCCATGATCTGCTGCAGTGAGATGGCGCTGCGTCACACTCCTTCTGGCCTTAGAAAGGCATATTTAACCCATTTGTATAGTAAGCAGTTCCTAAATATTATGTAAAAAGAGCATTTATATTTTTAAATAACAAGTTCTGAATCAAGTTTGAGCATGGACGCCACAGTTATTGCTCTTATAAATCTCCCAATCAATCAGATTTGGTGATGATGTGTATGTACACAAAAGTATGGCTACAACAGGTTCAGAATCCACCATTCATAATTAACTGTAGCTGGCCCAGGTCTACAGTGGTGCAGGGGACACTTTCATTAAAAGATATTTGGCTCCTCAATTAAGCAGGTTAAATAGTGACAGCCCTTTGAAACTTGGATGCACCCAGAGTCCGTTTGGTCTGACCCTACCACTGAACGAGCAGGATCAGCTAGCAAAGAGGAAACACACACCACATGCTATTTCTAGGAGCTCAGTAGGATCCAATTTTCCTCAAAGAGCCACACCAAGAAAGAACTCCATTAAATCAAACCTGGTCGTAAACTACAACGAGAAACTGTTGGACATTTGGCCATGGACTACTTCTAATGTGCATTGTATCGGCACTTAACAAGTGAATATTATATGATAAAATCATTGATATAGAAGTAACATGAGCGAATGCCCTTGTGGACTTATTTGGACATTGGCGAGTGTCCAGCAGGTTGATCCACTGACAGTGTGCATGCTGTTAATCTGCCCTCTAGCCCTCAGTGTTGTCCTCGGTGCCGTAGATTGACCTCACACCCGTGAAGCTCAGGACTGTACAAATATCCACTCCCGTGTGTAAGAGGACACACCTATGAGAGGATCACAGCCTCACAGTGAAGGACAGCTGCATCATAAATCAGTCAGCGGCTGTCACCTCTACTGTATCTGCATTTCACGCATGAAAAACCTATAGATAAATGCCCCAACTGCGTTATGCCATGTCTGACAAGAAAGGATTTTCCCAGAATAAGAAACCTAAGCCCCGAATGTATATTTAAATAACCAACAGCAATAGGAGCCCTTCCAGCCAATCACAGGCGCAGGGAGGGAAGCGGCTGCATGGCCGCAAACGTGACCAGAGCAGGAAAAGACAAGAAACCGAGCCAGCTTACATGAGCCAAGTAATGGCAAACCTACCAAGTTACTTTGTCGATACAAATACAAATAAAGAATGTGTTCATATGTGGCCTTATTTCGCTCAAACAACCACGAGGGGCACGGCCCCAGTCTCTCGCTCCGCTCCTATTCCCGGAATCTATGGACACCACGCGGTCTGCACACTGATCCCCCACTAAAGTATCAAGGGAAAGGAGACCAGAAGTATCTTCATGGCCCTACGAGTAAGCCCCAAATGATAAGTCCGATGCTTCCCACAATCAAAGTTCTATTATTTGCGACTAACCAGTAGTATAATAGTATAATATCTGTGCATATTTTAGAACATGTGATTGAAAATCAGGGCCATTACATGTGGATCTACTAAAAGAATACAACAAAATGGGTCTCGAAAGACAATTAAAAAAAATTTCCCACCGAAATAACACAGCAGCACCATAAATAGCTTTTTGAAGGCTGTCAAGATGGCCACAAGCTTATCACAGGCCTGTCGTTCAGTCACAACAGAATGAGTCAGTCCATGCCATAAGGATTAGTTAGGAGCGACTGACGGGGTTAAAAATGAATGAGTCAGCTTTGAGGGGTAATGGGGGAGGTGACACTATTGGTAAAGGCACAGCGCTTTGAATTCTCTTGCTTCACGGTGATGTGTGTGGAGGTGACAGGGCAACCAAAGAATGTGTTGCAATGTCTTAAGATGGCGTAAGATGCGAGACAGACCTTACACTGGATTTTCAAGTAGTGTAACAGGACAAGCACAAACAAAGAGACATTGGCAAACAGCACGATCACATACGAGCGACAGTCTCAAAATTATAGTGGAACAGAAGCCATCTTGGTTAACAGGCCTAAATGACAGGTCCACAGAACAGCGCGTGAGATTTCTGTCAGTTCACAATAGTGAGACAATCAACCAGTGAAATATACTTAAAGCAGGTATAAGTATAATCAATATTAACTTAATTCAGAAAAACAGATTCATATTCATAATTTTGTCTGCGTAGATTTCCCAGAGGAGCTGCGGTGCCACAATCTCCTCTAGATGCCGCTCTACAGTACACGCGCGGATCCACAGCAACACCTCCGCAAATCAAACAAACCTTGGGATGGTTCGGAGGTCTCCGGTTCCTTTGGTCTCGTCCTGGCGGGAGAACCACACCTCCAGAAGCTTTTCCGTCCCCTCGAAGAAATGTGCACCGTTATCTTCCATCGTGAGACAACAGACACCCAACAACAATATCAGTCGTTCGTCGATGATAACGCTTTACTTTTTTTTTTTCCTCGAGCAGATATTATTTATTAGGTACAGTCCTTTGAAGCAATGTAGGTGTTAATATTCTTGAGTTGCCGTCTTCCCTTTTGCAGAGAACACCGTTAGCGAGTGCTAGCTAATGTCGCCGGCCATACTGTGAAGAGCACTGAATGGTGGTGGCGCGTTGTATTTATTCAAGCGGGCATTTGCGTCACTTCCCGTATCAGCCAATCCTGTAGTTCCGTCGATATGTCTTGGCAACGATTGGCTGGGAGACCTGTCCATCATTCAAGGTACATCCCATGGGTGTACCACGTGACCGTGTATTCGTTTTAATAAAAATAGGACATAATATAGCATAAAATGCAATAAATGAATTGTGACAACATAAAGATTATGGGAAATTACTACGTAATAGCGCCAAAATATGAAATAGTACAGCGTATACTTTTTTACTGAAATGTATTTAGGACCATACATATATACGGTTAAAAAAAAACTAAATACGTTTCATTTGGCGAATAAACCTAAAGACATTTAATTTGGCAAATAAACCATTTCGGGGCCTACACTTTAGATGATGTTTTTGGGTAGGGTGCTACAGATACTAACAAACACGGGCAGTACAGTTGTCTTCGGTGAACTTCCCATCAGTCTGGCGAAGCTGCAACACTACATCTCCCAGCAAACCTTGCGCGACAATTAGAAGCGTCAACGAGCCAGTGAACATTAAGCGGAGCAGACCAAAATCCCAAACAAGGAAATGGTGGGGGAATAAAACGACAAGATTATTTAATTAATGCATGCATGTAATAATTAATATTTTATATTATTGTACATTTAAGAGGTATTAATGGGTTATAATGGATTACGACTTCAAAACAAAATTGGCAGCCGAAAGGGAAAGAGTAGAAGATCTATTCGAATATGAAGGTTGCAAAGTGGGTCGAGGCACCTATGGACACGTTTATAAAGCCAAGCGCAAAGATGGGTAAGAGAACCGAACCTCGTGTTTATGTTCACTTTACTCCGGACTGCAGGCTGCCTGTTGGGAGCGCGCAGCCCTGTACTGTCGCCTGTTCTTATAACGATCACCGTGTGTCTGTGTTTTTGTTTTCACTCACCAACGCCCCCCATCCCGCCTCCCTCCTCCGCTCTCTTCTCGTACAGCCACACAACAAGGCGCTAAAGTCACGCCGCAGCTTCATCTCTGACAAACATGTTATGTAGTTTATATTGTCTAGTGGCTGTGTTCACAGATTGTAACTAACTTATTTCCTATAGCCCTTTAGAGGTTTTGAGCAGGCTCTGGTATGGTATAAACGATGTTGATGTACGCACGCGATTCCACCGGAGATCTTCCCATACAATCTGTCTTTTCTTTTTCTTTCTTTTTCTTTTTCTTTCTTAACACTGTCATGTTTAAATGTGTAGGATATTAATTCCATCATGCGGTGTCTTAATACTTAATTGACATAATCTTTATCTATGTTACAGGTTGACTAACCGTTCAGATCTTTCATTTTGCATATTCCTTCATACATCCTTATCTCCTTAATCTCTTATATAGCTTGAAGACCGAAGAGTCAAACAACCCATTCAGTTCCCTTAGCCCTACTGAGAATTGAGTTCCGAAGGTTACACCACATTGGATTGTGAGAAAACTTCACTGAATCAGACTAACAATCTAAAAAATGAAAATGCTAAAAAATGTGATATATATATATATATATATATATATATATATATATATATATATATATATATATATATATATATATATATATATATATATATATATATATATACATTTGGTTCTATATCTGGCCAAAATATTGGTTCCAAATTTAGAAATTTTTATGCAAATTAATAAATATTTAGAGGTTGCTCAAGACACTTATAGCCTATGCTATAACATAGTGAACCAAGTAAATAAGGTGTATTTGGATAATTTGTCATTTTATTCTGGAAGCACAAACTGAAACTTGAATAAAAATTACTTAGAATGTCCATGAAAGTTTCTTAGAAAGTCCATAGAAAGTTAGAAAGTCCAGCAACTTAGAAAGTTCAGGAACCCCTGTGGCTTTGTTGGCATCACAATAGATGCAGCTCTGCTCTTTGACAACTTGCAGTAGATACTGTTTCTGATCTTCATTCTTTGTTAGGCTACAGTTAAAAACTTGAATAACCTTCACCCCCTTCCAGCAACATCATTGACAACTTTCCTGGAATGCAAAATATATTTTAATATTTTTTTTTAAATTTAGCAACATTTTTGCAGCCTTCTGAAAGTCTGCATCAACAGCCCAGTCTGCTGGGGGAATTGTTAAAAATATTTTTGGCAGATCAAGAGCTACGAAACGCATCATGTTGGTGGTGACAAAATTGCTGATCTGCTTCCCTTCATAATCTGCTTGATTAAGGGCATCACATTGCTTTGGTGGAATCTCTGAACCTTTCTTCTGTCACACTGGAGTTGAAGAATGCCAGGTCAACCATTTCTTAACTCAAGTACCAAAGATGTCGTCCGAAAGCTGTTAAGGCTGACTTTTTTGACAACTGAATTTTCATACTGTGATAGTATGAAAATTCACTGGTATGCTTATGGAATACCAATGAATTTGCAGGAGCTTCAAAACTTCATGCAGAAACTTCATGCAGCTTGAGCAACCTCTAAAACATCTCCTTTTTCTTCCAAAGGGTTCTAATCGAGGAACTTTAGTTTTTACCATGTTTTGATGGACCACACTAATAAATTAATAAAAATAAATAAACATAAATAAATAAATAAAAATAATAAAAGCGTAATTAGCCCGAATTAGTGGCAAACTGCATTTCTGATGTTGGAGAGATGGGGTTCAAATAAACAAATTGTTCGTATTATAGTATTAACTTCTTAATGTACAATCCTCTGGCATAGATTGGCCTACATTCCTCTGCAGTGTGGTCATTAAAGAACACAGCTTATAACAAAATCAAGTAAGCACTAAACTGATACTGAAGTTGTTAAAAATGAAAATGAAAGAAAAGATTAAATTTCTTTGTATTTATGAAGCACCCACTGCTATGTGAAAGAAAACACAAGCTTATTTTTATTGTTCAGTCTTAATTACTGGACTATGTAAAATTCAAGGATCTGTGATCTTTCTTCATTTCTACAGGAAAGATGTGAAAGAGTATGCACTGAAACAGATTGAAGGGACTGGGATCTCTATGTCGGCCTGCAGAGAGATTGCTGTAAGTCTATCTCTGACATTTCCATCTATCAACATGAAATGTGGAGTCTAAAGATTTAAATGAATTGAAATAACAGCAATGTTGATCTAAAAAGGTTTAATTTTATGTACTACCGCTTGTATTCTTATGTTTTTTAAGCCCTTGTGTCCTTTGAGTGTCATGAATTAATTATTATTTTTATATTATTAATTATAGAAAACTGATTATAGAAATTGATTCAATCCCAGTTCAAAACTACAGAACGGATTTTCTGCTGCTGAACACGCCTTTTAAAAGTGGTATTTCACCACAGCAAGCATCAGATTTTCTGTTACATGCTAAACAAAATTGAACCCTATGTCTATGACCTGGAGTCAGATTGCTAAGTAATGTATGCAGTTCAACCTCTCTGTCCTGTTTGTGTAAGGTCTATAGGAAGCCTTCTTTACAGATTTCGGCAGTGTCGCTCCATTCTTTCACTTCGTATGTGTTGATGGGTATAGTGTTTATGGTGTTGAGGACCAGGTATTTGTCTCAGCACCATGTTCTATCTCAGTCCTATAGACACAATCATAACTGTTCCAGATGGAGTGATCAGAGTGGTGTTATTCACACACGTTATGGTACAGCATTGGACTGAGCACACACCCCTGAGGCATGCCTATCTGGGAGACAAGTGACATTCAGAGATTGGCCTACCAGGAAGTCCATTATCCACGCACAGAGATGAACTGAGCCAAAGGGTGTTGATATTGATATGAGTTTGTAATAGTTTATTTTTAAAATCCAGTTTCTTGCAGTGGGCCTTGTGTAGGTGGATTTTGGATGTTAAATTTCAACTTCTCTCAAATAGAAGTTCTCACTAAATAGGGGTGTGTCTCCAGTGCAAGTCATACCTAATAAATTATTACACATTCTCCGTGTGCATGTAGGGTGTGCCATATTTGCCTCAGTATGGCGAGTCCCTTGGCTTGGCTGTACTGTACTGTCCTGCCCATTATACCCTAATGACATAGACTGTATATGTGTACTGACCAAAAATCTTAAAAAGGCTTTCATGGGACAATCCTGCGATTGGCAAAAAAAGGATAAAAAATGTATCAAACTATTTTAAGGCAAATGATTGCTGCTTTGAAGTTTTTCACCATCTACTATACAAATATAGCTAAGGACTAACAGATGGAGGTGGTTGGTTTGTTTAGAGTGGTAAGGATCCCAGAGATGTCTACCATCTCATAAGAATTATTTCTGGTGTTGTAGCTGCTTCGAGAACTCAAACACCCAAACGTGATTGCACTGCAGAAGGTCTTCTTGTCTCACAGCGACAGAAAAGTCTGGCTGCTCTTTGACTATGCCGAGCATGACCTCTGGGTGAGAACACTCTTTTCTTCTTCTCCTCACATATCATGTTTCTCAGATTCCAAACACATCCTGCTCATGAATATGCTTAAAAGGCTAGAGAGAGAGATGTTTAATTGTCACATTAACAGCCTTCATACTTGGTCTTTTCTAGCACATCATTAAGTTTCACCGTGCCTCCAAAGCAAACAAGAAGCCCATGCAGCTTCCACGAGGGATGGTAAAGTCGCTGCTCTATCAGATCCTTGATGGCATCCACTACCTCCACGCAAACTGGGTCTTGCATCGAGATCTCGTGAGCATGTGCACTCCACATCCATCGTTGTAAACAGAGACTAGGACAATTTTGGGAAATTGTTGTCTATAAAAAAACAAGGGTCAGTTAAGAGTTCACATTTTCAGCATGCTGAGAAACATGGGAGTTAAGTCTTAAATATTAACTGCTAAAACACTACAAGAACCACACGCATGTTAGACTGAACTATACCTATACCTGGTAGGTTTTATACCTAATGATACTCCATGGAGACAGGATTTTTTTGTTTGTTGGTTAGCCATTATATTACCCAAATAATTTCTAAAGGAAGTCTAGCAGAAATACTTAAAATTTACTATATATGATGCTAACAATGACAGGTCAGTGTTTGGTATTGGAGTCACTAACATAGTCACAGATATCTTTATCACTGATTAAGTCTGTCAAAATATTTTGTTCAAATAAATCTCATCAACTAAGATGATAAGAGCACATATATTTGCAGATGATACATGCAATTTGATCTAAGAATCAAATCACCTTTCTACCTCAATTTCTGAAATTTAATCCATAACTTAACCATGTAAATGTTACGAATTAATAAAGTGTATTCAGTGTTTAAAATGTTTTTATTATTGTTAAATACTGTACATTGCAATACCAGCTTAGTCTATCTCTCTTCTCACCCTCTTGCACTATCATGCTGTGAGGGTGTCATTGTAACAGTGTTCTCTTAGTTTGGTTCATTGTGTAAAGAATACCAGAACACAACATCCAAAGCAGTAACACACTACTAGCAAAAAAGCAAAAAGAGATTCTATTAAAGCAACTTAAGCCTGTATATGCAGTGAAACTGTTGTAGTATTTGTCATTATGAAACACAAACACAAATAAAGATACAAACTTTGTAGTAAGAAGAAAGTAATAAAATAAACAGGCATGTTCCATTTCCTATTATAAATTATATCACCAGCAGTGAGCTCTTGTCCACTAACTAGAAGGTTGGAGGATTGATTCATTCTCCAAGATAATATAATACTGCCATTGTGTCCCTGGGCAAACCTCTTCACCCACCTATATGAATGTGATGTGTGAGGAATTTGTGGTGGTTGGAGGGGACGAACCAAATTGGCAGCCTAACTTGCATCATTTTACCCCAGGACAGCTGCTCCTACAATCGTACCCTACCAACAGTAGGAATCTCATGATTTTCAGAGGTATACATGTTTTAGGAGTAGGGGAAACCCTTATCTTTAAATGAATAAATTAATATATTTTTTAATTATGTCCATATGTTCATATGCATGTTTATATGGCAAAAAGCATCCAACATCCAAACTACTAAGATCATCCAGCTCTTTTTTAACAGTAGTTTCTCCACTTTATCTGGATTCACTTTGATTTGCATAATGTACATTATCATAACTTATAATTTAACTTATAACTTAAGAACTTTCATTATCTCAGTATATATATTATTAAACAAGCATAATTAGAAAGCCACACTCATATTTGTAACATATACGCCTGTGCTGTTCCACTAGTACAGTAGTTAAAAAACTCCCTCACTGTAACGTGACAGAATGTTATGCTTATAGATTTTTTTTTTTTTATGATTTGAATGTGGCCTAAGCTCCTCATGCAGCCCATTCCAGAGCCTTACCTACTAACTGTCCCCCACTGTAAGGTTCAAATTCGCCCAGCAGTGGGCAAAACAATGACAGAGCTGCATTGAGGTTTGTGCGGAAGCCAAAGATGACGTCGATATACTTACTTATGCCTATTTTGGTGAAAATACTGACTATTTTGTTTGTGAAAATTGTGCAAGATAAGTGCTTTGTGGACAGGGAAGATGTCTGTGCTTTTCTTTCAATTAGCTATAACAAAAGTTTGACTTTTTGGCTTGTTCCTGATGATTAAAGTGATATTGGAATTATTCAATTTCATACAGGAAGTTCCTCATGGTAAAAGCAATCAGGAAGCTCTATGCTTTGCAAAGGCAGATGCCATTTAACATGCTGAATTGGCAAAGGCTTCTATGTCCAATGGTGCATGAAACCACAAAACTGTGAAAACATGCCTCTCCAGGTTGATAATTACTGACTTAGTGGGTAAAGACTGTCTTAGGCAGCCACT